TTCCTGCTAAAATGAAATTAATATTCAAGTAACAAACAGTAGCTCTTTCTTTTCTGATAGAAGACTTAACCATCTGTTGATTACTCAGAAATCATCAACCTACACACACGGGATGTTCAAAAATAAGGACCAAAGATTGGGCTGTAGGACTTAAAAATACGGTAGGGAAGGGGCAGGCATCAGAGAGGCACTAAGTGTCACAGCAAACACTGTGGTTAAGGCTGCAGTGTTGCAGGGCAAAAACCAGTTCCCAGGAAGCCCCCATCCAGCTTCTGCAGAAAGCAGCAACAGTGCAATATCTATCTTCTATCCAGTTGACTTGGATGCCAGGCTGAGAGCTTCCTCCCTAGCTGTCACCCAAACCCATTTCATGAGTTGAGGTGCTGAGCCTACAGCTTAGTTCCCATCCCCTTAGTTGCAACCCATTGCACTTCCTTGGACGTTGCCAAATGCTGCTGGTGTTGGACTTCCAGCCAGAGCCTGGCAAGCTGAACACATGCACCAACACAGAGCAATAAAGCCAAGGGCTGCTGAAGTCAGCAGTAAGCTTTCATCATGGCTGACAGCAACTCACCCCAGCTCTTTCAGGTGCCAGGTTCAGCCTCATGCCCAGATTTATCCAGCTGACAAAAATGTCAAACCTCAATTCTGCAAGAGCTCAGGGACAGCACAGGTCTCAAATTCCCATATAAGATTAGATTTTTCCCTCCAGACTCCCTCATACTTTTAAGAAAGAAAATTAGATCAGCTCCTTTCTGGAGTCATTTCAGTCTAAGATTCTCAGAAGCATGATTACCATTTGACTTCTCTCAAATCCAGACTTTTTTTTTTTACAGAAGGCCTCACTAGCACAGAATAGTGCAATGCAGTACAGGAGAGCTGTATGGTTTGCACAAACCCCTTAGACAAATGACAACATGTAACACAGAGGGCAATACATTAGTGCATTAGTCCAGAGCTACAGCCAGAGCCTGACCCTCAACAATTCTGATATTTCCCATAATAAATACTTGCCTCCTTACAAGGGAAAGGTGGAAATAAACAAGGATGACCAAGAGACATCTGTAGTACCTAGAGGATAAAGACCAGAAGCTCCTAGAACAGACCTGAGATGCTACAGTAAGGGAACTCCAGATACAGGTACAGAACAAGTTGCTGGTAATGATCCAAGTTCCCACCAGAAGGTATTTCAGAGAAAAAAAAAATCTACCTAAAAAGCCATTTTGAATAGAAGTACAGAACAAATTGGCAATTCTTGAGGCTAAGGGTTCCACACTCACATCTCTGCTCCCTCCCATATCATTTTTATACTGAAACCAGAGAGCCACAGCTCTAGCTGCTGCTGCAAGCAGAGCTGTACAGTAACTTCCCCTGCAGCTTGAGATTTGGCACTCGTGCTGTAAGCCCTTGAGACTGTGCTTCTCTGGCTTTGGAGAAACAAAGCACAAAGCAAACTACTGCGGAAAATCCTGAACATACACTGTGGGAATCTGCCTTGCCAAGGGACTGAGGGGACAGAGTTATATCAGCAGACAGGCTGATGTAAGAAAGCCCAGCTGGCTCCAGGGTAGAGTCCAGCCTCTTTGCATCAAAATACCACTGCCTGCTCAGCCCCAGTGTGGCAGACATCCTCTGCCAGCTGTATGAAGGTGACAGGAAGAATGTTTCAGCTGTAATATTTTAAGAATATAATTAACTGCTTTTGTTTACACACACCAAGGAAAGGAAGGAATGACAATTCCCTAACATGCTTTGACAGTCATCTTTTCCATTCCTTGGAATTCCCTTAAATACTGGCAGAGATTTATTTCCTGCTTTATATTGAAGCCTTAGTGATTTAACACTTAACATGTTATGCAAGTTCAATTCCATGCATCAAACAGTATGATTAATAAGCAGAGTAAAACCTCCTCTCCCCAGAAAACATACAATACATCTTACTCTTTATTAAGTATCAAATTGTCTCCAACATAAATTACATCCAAATTACATAAGTTTCCAGAAAGTCAGATATTTTTATGTACAGTATTTGTCGAGTCAGATATACCTTTATCATTGTAACCTATAATGTAAAAAGCAAATCTACATCAGTACCAAGTAAAGCATTAAAAAGGTAACAAATATATAACTTTTTAGAAATGCTTTCAGAACGCTAAAGTTAATGACAACGATTTTATAGTGCAGCAGTTTTGGGTTTTAGCTCTTACACCATCTCTCTGTTCCTGCGGATGGCGCAGCAGAGAACCATGCTGAATATCATGCCAAAAATCTGGAAAGAAAACAAAACAGATGAGAAGCCAGGGAACCAAAGCAGTCTTCTATCAACATAGGAACAAGCATAGCTGCTGTTCCTAGCCTGGTTGCCACGATAACACTCTTCTGTAGTTTGTCCCTGCTCCTCCATCCCCAAATTTCAGTTCATTCTCACCAGTCCCCTCCACCCTCAATAATTCAAAACTGATCAGCTATAAATCCCTCTATCTCCTAAGAAATCTTTGATGATCCTGACATATTTGCATCCACATTGTAGTCTCCTGCAGAAAAGCTGAACAAACACACACGAATTTTCCAACTAGCACTGTTATTGCAGTTCTCTAGTTGAGTCTTAATTGCTACAAAGAAAAAACAAGGATCCTCAAGAGATAACTAGGATTAAGCAGCAGGCTGGCAACATGATCAGTACATCTTTGCCCTATGCACACACACACACCTGATACAGCATTACCACTGCTAAAAATGCAAGGAGGCAGATCCTAACCCAAAGCAGAAGCAGGGAGGTCCAAGACACCCCACCCTCCACACTGCTTCAAAATCCTGCAGCACACACCCTGATCCTGCCAGTACTTGTCATAAGTGGAATGCACTTGCAGGCTGTCATGCCAGGCACTGTTCTTCTGCCATAAGTACCCTCTGGCCATGCAGCTACCCTCTAAATACTCTGGAAACTCACCATGATTACAGCAATGCCGAGGCCAACTGCTCCAATCGCGTTCAGTTTTGATTTAAAGACATCATTAATGGCAGTAGGGCATGACTGAAAAGAAACAAGACAGTTCATTAGTGTTTCGTACATACAAAAGGTTTGTTTCTGCTTGCTAGTTTGAGCACAAGTCTGCTGACTGATGCTACACAAGCAGACTTTTGACCAAGTCTGCTTGCACTAGTGATGAAGACCCATCTTTTGAAAGCTGCTCTGAACTGGCCTTTATTTTCACAGCTTTAAAGAGAGCCAGGGGTGTTCCAACACAAGTTGAAGAGTAGATTTAAGCTTCTCTACCAAGTATCCAACCTCTTAACTGCACCTTGGCTACAGCAGGATTTGCTTCTCAGCCACCTGCAATTGATCAGGTAGGTCAAGAACAACGCTAGTTGTACCACACTTGGCTTGTTAATAATGGCTTCCTGCATTTAAGTTGCTATATTGCTCAGCCCTTCTCAAATTAGATTTGAAGCCACTCTTGATACTTCCAATTGCTGTTGCAACTTTGTAGACACCTGATGAACACATGGGGCATGAGAGGATTTCTTGAGCTGCAGGCACACATGCTAGGCTATGGGTAGATTCATAGAGGTGCCAGTTTGAAGCTCCCAGGACAATGAATTACCATTGCAACTAAAAAAGTATAGTCCTTTATCCACAAAAGACACATGGTAGCAGAGAAAAAGAACAACTTTTTCTGTTGAAACTGTTGAAAACAACTTGTTTTCTTTAATTGTTCTTTAGTCAACTAAGGAAAGCCTGAATCAAGGATTAAAGGGATATACCAGCAAGAATTAATCAGTTAAATCAGAATATCAGTACAGTGCTACTACTTACAGATGCACATACATCAGCCACACCATTACATCCCCTGAGTTTTCCAGCCTGTCTACTGGGTTTTTTTTCTACAGTTGGGACTAGACCATAAAACCATCACAAGATTAAGTCAACAGATAAAGCTAAAATACACATAAAAGCACATGCTGCCTCAGCTACTCCCACACAGTGTAACACATAGCAAACTGTATGGACTGGACTAAAGATACAGTCTAAACACAGACAGAAATGTCTCATGTGGTCAGGTATTTGAAGGCACAAGCTCATCTGTGGTAAAAGGAAGAGCACAAGTACTGTGAAAAAAAATGAAGTTATTAATTGAATTCCTGCATCATGAGAACCTTATTTTTCTATGGGAAAACCCACAAAGGCTTTCTTGGAGCATGAAGCACGAACATGAGACAGTTTTAAGAAAAACAGGAAAAGTGGTAACTAAGAACTATACAAGCTGTCAGGCCTGTATCTGTGGCCATACAGGCACCTTGGCAACAAGATTGCAACAGGGGAATCTGATTCAGAGAATTAGCTTCACAATGACACTCTCCTGAACAATGTCACCCCTCTCCCTTCCCTTCCCTTGCTAAAACTTCAGACCTGCTCCCACCCCACGTTCTACCTCTCCCTAACCAAAAGGGGAGGCAGCAGCTCCTGTGCAACACCAGGAAGGTGCTTTGCTGAGAGGCAGCCATGTCAACAGAGCTCTCCAGTGGGTTTTTTTTTAGGTGAAGTTTTAGCCTTACATTGTCCATCATGCCAGGGAGTTT